AGCTGTCACAACCCTCTACCCTCCATGATTATCATGACTTGGTACTACATATGTAGACATGTGGTGTACTTACAGTACAAGCTGTCACAACCCTCTACCCTCCATGATTATCATGGCCTGGTACTACATGTGTAGACATGTGGTGTACTTACAGTACAAGCTGTCACAACCCTCTACCCTCCATGATTATCATGGCCTGGTACTACATGTGTAGACGTGTGGTGTACTTACAGTACAAGCTGTCACAACCCTCTACCCACCATGTTATCATGGCCTGGTACTACATGTGTAGACATGTGGTGTACTTACAGTACAAGCTGTCACAACCCTCTACCCACCATGTTATCATGGCCTGGTACTACATGTGTAGACATGTGGTGTACTTACAGTACAAACTGTCACAACCCTCTACCCACCATGTTATCATGGCCTGGTACTACATGTGTAGACATGTGGTGTACTTACAGTACAAACTGTCACAACCCTCTACCCACCATGTTATCATGGCCTGGTACTACATGTGTAGACATGTGGTGTACTTACAGTACAAGCTGTCACAACCCTCTACCCACCATGTTATCATGGCCTGGTACTACATGTGTAGACATGTGGTGTACTTACAGTACAAGCTGTCACAACCCTCTACCCACCATGACTATCATGGCCTGGTACTACATGTGTAAACATGTGGTGTACTTACAGTACAAGCTGTCACAACCCTCTACCCTCCATGATTATCATGACTTGGTACTACATATGTAGACATGTGGTGTACTTACAGTACAAGCTGTCACAACCCTCTACCCTCCATGATTATCATGACTTGGTACTACATATGTAGACATGTGGTGTACTTACAGTACAAGCTGTCACAACCCTCTACCCTCCATGATTATCATGGCCTGGTACTACATGTGTAGACATGTGGTGTACTTACAGTACAAGCTGTCACAACCCTCTACCCTCCATGATTATCATGGCCTGGTACTACATGTGTAGACGTGTGGTGTACTTACAGTACAAGCTGTCACAACCCTCTACCCACCATGTTATCATGGCCTGGTACTACATGTGTAGACATGTGGTGTACTTACAGTACAAGCTGTCACAACCCTCTACCCACCATGTTATCATGGCCTGGTACTACATGTGTAGACATGTGGTGTACTTACAGTACAAACTGTCACAACCCTCTACCCACCATGTTATCATGGCCTGGTACTACATGTGTAGACATGTGGTGTACTTACAGTACAAACTGTCACAACCCTCTACCCACCATGTTATCATGGCCTGGTACTACATGTGTAGACATGTGGTGTACTTACAGTACAAGCTGTCACAACCCTCTACCCACCATGTTATCATGGCCTGGTACTACATGTGTAGACATGTGGTGTACTTACAGTACAAGCTGTCACAACCCTCTACCCACCATGACTATCATGGCCTGGTACTACATGTGTAAACATGTGGTGTACTTACAGTACAAGCTGTCACAACCCTCTACCCTCCATGATTATCATGACTTGGTACTACATATGTAGACATGTGGTGTACTTACAGTACAAGCTGTCACAACCCTCTACCCTCCATGATTATCATGACTTGGTACTACATATGTAGACATGTGGTGTACTTACAGTACAAGCTGTCACAACCCTCTACCCTCCATGATTATCATGGCCTGGTACTACATGTGTAGACATGTGGTGTACTTACAGTACAAGCTGTCACAACCCTCTACCCTCCATGATTATCATGGCCTGGTACTACATGTGTAGACGTGTGGTGTACTTACAGTACAAGCTGTCACAACCCTCTACCCACCATGTTATCATGGCCTGGTACTACATGTGTAGACATGTGGTGTACTTACAGTACAAGCTGTCACAACCCTCTACCCACCATGTTATCATGGCCTGGTACTACATGTGTAGACATGTGGTGTACTTACAGTACAAGCTGTCACAACCCTCTACCTACCATGTTATCATGGCCTGGTACTACATGTGTAGACATGTGGTATACTTACAGTACAAGCTGTCACAACCCTCTACCTACCATGTTATCATGGCCTGGTACTACATGTGTAGACATGTGGTGTACTTACAGTACAAGCTGTCATAACCCTCTACCCACCATGTTATCATGGCCTGGTACTACATGTGTAGACATGTGGTGTACTTACAGTACAAGCTGTCATAACCCTCTACCCACCATGTTATCATGGCCTGGTACTACATGTGTAGACATGTGGTGTACTTACAGTACAAGCTGTCACAACCCTCTACCTACCATGTTATCATGGCCTGGTACTACATGTGTAGACATGTGGTGTACTTACAGTACAAGCTGTCACAACCCTCTACCTACCATGTTATCATGGCCTGGTACTACATGTGTAGACATGTGGTGTACTTACAGTACAAGCTGTCACAACCCTCTACCCACCATGTTATCATGGCCTGGTACTACCATGTAGACATGTGGTGTACTTACAGTACAAGCTGTCATAACCCTCTACCCACCATGTTATCATGGCCTGGTACTACATGTGTAGACATGTGGTGTACTTACAGTACAAGCTGTCATAACCCTCTACCCTCAATGATTATCATGGCTTGGTACTACATGTGTAGACATGTGGTGTACTTACAGTACAAGCTGTCACAACCCTCTACCCTCCATGATTATCATGACTTGGTACTACATGTGTAGACATGTGGTGTACTTACAGTACAAGCTGTCACAACCCTCTACCCACCATGTTATCATGGCCTGGTACTACATGTGTAGACATGTGTCGTACTTACAGTACAAGCTGTCATAACCCTCTACCCACCATGTTATCATGGCCTGGTACTACATATGTAATGTCATCAACCTCACCAACAAAGGAAGAGTTAGAACAATAGACGCCGGGTATAGAGAAAGACCCCGCAGGGTGTTTATTGATTTGCCATTAATTACAAAGGAATCTGGCTCCGTTTGAAAATTAAGAGCGAACGTTGAGTTATTTGATGGCGTTCCATGTTTAATTTTAGATTGAATTCTTCCCTTATTTACATATATGTACTAACATACCTCCCAATATACATAGTATAAATTATGAAAAAACAATTTAAAAAAAAATAAAAGATAAGTGGGTCAGGTTTTGATTTTTAAAATAAAGAAGGCATCTCCTGACCACGAGCACATGTGCTTTTCATTTTTTCTATTGTTATTTCATGTGTTAAGCGTCTTTACGCAAATTTGGCCTTGAATACCCATTTCTTGATTTCTCAAGAAGCCTCTGGAACCAAAAATCTTTTTGGTCGCAGTGGTTACAGCCTTCTCCACGCTGACGAGTGCCAACAGCGCGAAACGCGTTCGTGGATGGCTTTTCTTGATTTATCAAGAAATTGGGTTGACCAAATATCACGGAGCAAGCTAAATAGACGTTTAGTTTATTTCTGCTCCGCTAGATGGCGCTCTGCCATTTAAAAAGCACATGTGCTCGTGGTCAGAAGATGCCTTCTTTATTTTTAGTGTAAACTATATATGTATTTGTGTGTGATTAAATACTAGAACACTCAGTCTTCCAATGAATTCCGGTATAATACTTTATAATTGGAGGTCGATGGCAGTATTGTATTATTGGATTTGAGGTCAATCAGTCCTAAGACAGATATACTTACTCAACCAGACTCCACCAAGATGACGTAGTTGTTGGTAATATAGAAAAGCTAGAAAAAAATGAATCAATTTAGAAAACTATGAATAAACAAATGAGGAATTTAAATAGATAGTTTTTATGTCTAACTATTGTAGCGATAGGCAGGTGGTATTTCTGAGGGAAATGAACGACAGGATTTAGTGATCTCAAATACGTATAATGGGCTTTATTTAACTATATACATTCAAGTTTTAACCTCTTCTGCTTTGACTTTAACTCTTCTGGTTGTTTAATTCCTAGAGTCCTTTAACTTCTTTGAGTTCTTTAACTCCCTTGAGTTCCTTAACTTCTGTCAACTGGTGACTTCTTGGTTTCTCTCTTCATTTATATCAAAAATGTTGTATGAGGACATCTTTTTGATCTGATGTCTTTAGTCTGTTCTTCAATCAATCCTTTCTTGTAGGCATTCTAATAATCAGTCATATATTGTGGCATATATAAGCTGAATCGTATAATACAATGTTAGAGCTCTAAAAACCACAGTCTAATGGATTAAATTTGTTGTAATTGCTGGAAAGGTATACCTTTAAAGATCCAAGCCCTCCCAATATATATTTTAATCTCAGTAAGAATAATAGAAGTTTGTTAGTTTGTAAATAAAAACATTCGTTCCCTATAGTTCAATTTTTATATATAGATGGCGCGTTTTTGCATTATAATTCTTATAAAATGAAAGAATTTAAAAGCACCAATGCTTCTTTTATACATAATATAATACATAATACATTTTCATCGCAGTAAGGGCAGTAGAAGTTTGTATTATGTATAAAAGAAACATTCGTGATTTTAAATTCTTTCATTTTATATGTATAGATGGCGCGTTATTGCTTTGTGTTAATTATTATTCTTGTTGTGTCGCATGGCCGATCGAATTAAGATTCCCTTTTCTTGACATTTTAATAAGAATTTGGTTTTTGCCTTGTTAGTATGTCGTTATTGGTGGCATATGGTATTACATATATAACAGTGTCGCAGTGTTCAAGATGAGATAACACACAGTGTAATCTCTAAACAGGTTTTTCCAAATTCAAATCCTACTTTGAAAGAGATCTTTTCGACCTAACTCTCTTACCAAAATATAGACACACATAGACAACATTTGAATAAAATATAATGCGGCTTAATATTATAAAACGACATTTGAAAACTATCCCGGATGTGTTTCTTTTCAACGATAAATCAAAATCCATTTCAAGGAGAAATAACGATTATTTCTAACCTTTATGGATGAGGTATGAAAGGGTGAATTGTGAAGAGTAATGATAAACGGAAAAATATAAGTGTCCAGGGATGGGAATCGAACCCAACAGTGTTCCGCTTATCCGCTTACCATGCAGATGCCATGATCACTAAGCTACCCTGGACATATTTTATCGTTGAAAAGAAACACATCCGGGATAGTTTTCAAATGTCGTTTTACAACACTTGAATAAGTTGTACCTTTTATCAGGTACTGACAAAAGTTACTTCTTTTGCGGGTTATCACACAAAAATGGAATAAGCTAGGGCCTAAATTAAATGTACCTTAATACACAGAAAAGCGTACACTCAAGAGTACAACACCACCAACAAAAGGGAATAAATAAGAACTAACGATTCGTAAAATAAAATAAAAAAAGTACTTAGCTTTATTGTAGCGTTGGTAGGGAGCGGACCGGGGTTTCACAGGTATGCGAGCAGAAACACCAGACAAGCACACAGAGAACGCTTTAAGCGTCTCCACTCGAACACCACTCCACGACTCCTCGCATTCCGTTTCAACCCTCTTTTATGCACAAACATGGCCACATTCGTCCAATGAGAAGGCGTGGGAGATCAGTTCACTTAACAAATAAACAACATACTTTCCGCATAACTGAGAAGATTAAAACTGCTATGTTTGTCAAATAATTTGACAGTACAACTTCCTTAAGTTTTGTCTCCATGAATGTGTGAAAGATATTTACTCTCTAATAAATAGGATCATATTTTTATATAACCTCATTTACATATTTCCCTTCTATAAATATCTCCTTAAACATTCTATTCCTCTTTTTTATATTCCTAAATGCTATTTTTCTTCTTCAAAAATTTATTTTTTGGTATCATGAGAGGGAAACAACTTTTAAAGAGTTAATAGAGTTTGTATATAAATATTTAAAGACCCAAGTTGGCAAAAACTCACCCTCTATCTCCAAAATTTGAAAACCACATCACTGGAGTTATTATGGGTTCATTTAAAGGGTAAACCATAAAAATAAAGGTTGTTGTGTTGATAAAAAGGGTTTGTTATCACAAATTCTATTTACAGTTGGCTATTGATTTGACACTTCTAGCTGGGACAATTTTATAATTTTAAAATACGATTTGATCTTTTTTATCACCGTTATTTCAGGTTTATCTTCTGATGCCATTAAAGATTTGGCAGGGTAAGATACTTAGTTATATATAGGATTGGATTGTTCTGATAAAATAAAATTCCACATGTCCCAAATTCCTCCCTCCCAAAAAGAAAAGAGGGGTTCTCCCAGCTCGCGGTTTCCGAGGCGTAGTGAGGCCGCCACACTACTGTCCATATGTGTAGTGAAGCTTTGTTCGCACTCGCTGAGACAAAGTGTTGTTGTTTCTTATCCCCTCGTGTAAAGATTACACCAATCCCATGAGTTCCTGCTCCTCGAGTTGTTTTATGATAAGCAGCGGCCTCTCCCAAAGGTCATGTTTAGTGAATCTAATGCAAAGTGTGGTCGCCACAAGCCTAAGAAGGGGGAATTGATGTATATAGTTTTATAATTGTTTTGTTTAATATTTCATTTATAAATTGATCTAATAATTTAGTCTGTGAAAATAAAAATATTGGACTAGTGACCAAACAAACTGTAAATAGATGGATTATTGTTATATATTTAAAATAGTTTTGAATTTTGATAACAGATGGCGCGCTAGTGCATCATATTATAAATGTTCTAATAAAAGAAACAATTTGATATTTGCGGAAGAGCGATTGCTCGAAGCATATTATATGTTTATAAATGTATGTAATTCTACTGTCCTCAAAGCTTATGTCCATTCAAAGAGTCTACCAACAGTATCACTATAAAAGGAAGTTCCAAAAATGCAATATAACAGCGGTATGGTAGATTAAACTGGCGAAACCACTGAGAGGGTTCACCACTGATGAGCCAGGCCCTCTCATTAATTTTTCCATTGCAGTAAGGGCAGTAGAAATTGTTTAATATCAAAAGAATCCTACGCCTTTAAAATAGTTTTGAATTTTGATAACAGATGGCGCGCTAGTGCATCATATTATAAAGTTTAAATGTGTTCTAAACTTTAATAAAAGGTTATAATTAGCTGGCTTTCCTCATTTTTCTTGTGTCTTTCCTCGTGTTGTATATAAAAAAAAGGCATATCCTGACCATGTTCACATGGAATTTTTAGATAGCAGTGCGCCATCTAGTGGAACAGAAATCAACTAAACGTTGATTGTCCGAACTTTACAGAAGTGAGACATCGATTGTTCCCTGATCTAAATGATCTAAATCTCTTACATCAGCCACTTTGTCTATATAAAATTTATGAACTCTGTAGAATAATACATGTAATTTGTAAATATTTAATTCTAATTTGTTTGTTGTTTTGTTTGTGTTGTATATAGTTACCGTGTAGAAAATACTATACTATACATACTACTTATAGGTTTCTCTCTGTATTCTTAGTTCTCTTCTTTTCAATTACTCTGTAAACTGGTGAATCCTTTATAGGACGAGAGGTCCTCAATGAAGGCTTTTGTTGTTGTTGTTTGTTGTTGTTTTGTTTGTTTCCTCTGTATTAGGCGCAAATATTTCAATATCGCGCCTCTTGTTGATTAATAAATAGATAAAACAACAACATTGATTTAAACATTTAAACATTGATATTCGGCCAACCCATTTTCTTGATAAATCAAGAAAGCCAACCACGAACGCGTTTCGGGCTGTTGGCCCTCGTCAGTGTGGTGCAGTCTGTACCTCTACGACCAAAAATATTTTTGTGAAGCAACGTTTAAAGGATATTTACACTCATGGGCAAAGCTTGAGAAAGTGACAAGTCTTTGATGCTCCGGTTGTCTGATTTTTTTTTTAAAGACAAAGACAATTCTTTCAACCCGTGTTTATCTCGTGTGTTATTAATGAAGGTCACTGTAATATATTTCATAGATATTGTCTAAATCCCGATATACATGCTGAAAGGTACAACTTCCTTAGTTTTGTTTGTAAGTCTTCAATAAAGGTCACTCTAATATCTTTCCGAGTTATTGTCTGAATCCCGATATACATGCTAAAAGGTACAACTTCCTTAAGTTTTGTTTGTAAGTCTTCAATACAGGTCATTGTAATATATTTCAGAGTTATTGTCTGAATCCCGATATACTTGCTAAAATGTACAACTTCCTTAAGTTTTGTTTGCAAGTCTTCAATAAAGGTCACTGTAATATCTTTCAGAGTTATTGTCTGAATCCCTATAAACATGCTAAATGATATAACTTCCTTAAGTTTTGTTTGTAAGTCTTCAATAAAGGTCACTGTAATATATTTCATAGATATTGTCTAAATCCCGATATACATGCTGAAAGGTACAACTTCCTTAGTTTTGTTTGTAAGTCTTCAATAAAGGTCACTCTAATATCTTTCCGAGTTATTGTCTGAATCCCGATATACATGCTAAAAGGTACAACTTCCTTAAGTTTTGTTTGTAAGTCTTCAATACAGGTCATTGTAATATATTTCAGAGTTATTGTCTGAATCCCGATATACTTGCTAAAATGTACAACTTCCTTAAGTTTTGTTTGCAAGTCTTCAATAAAGGTCACTGTAATATCTTTCAGAGTTATTGTCTGAATCCCTATAAACATGCTAAATGATATAACTTCCTTAAGTTTTGTTTGTAAGTCTTCAATAAAGGTCACTGTAATATCTTTCAGAGTTATTGTCTGAATCCCGATATACATGCTAAAAGGTACAACTTCCTTAAGTTTTGTTTGTAAATCTTCAATAAAGATCACTGTAATATCTTTCAGAGTTATTGTCTGAATCCCGATATACATATTAAAAGGTACAACTTCCTTAAGTTTTGTTTGAAAGTCTTCAATGAAGGTCACTATAATATATTTCAGAGTTATTGTCTGAATCTCGATATACATGCTAAAAGGTACAACTTCCTTAAGTTTTGTTTGTAAGTCTTTAATAAAGGTAACTGTAATATCTTTCAGAGTTATTGTCTGAATCCCGATATACATGCTAAAAAGTACAATTTCCTTAAGTTTTGTTTGTAAGTCTTCAATAAAGGTCACTGTAATATCTTTCAGAGTTATTGTCTGAATCCCGATATACATGCTAAAAGATACAACTTCCTTAAGTTTTGTTTGTAAGTCTTCAATAAAGGCACTGTAATATCTTTCAGAGTTATTGTCTGAATCCCGATATACATGCTAAAAGATACAACTTCCTTAAGTTTTGTTTGTAAGTCTTCAATAAAGGTCACTGTAATATCTTTCAGAGTTATTGTCTGAATCCCGATATACATGCTAAAAGGTACAACTTTCTTAAGTTTTGTTTGTATGTTTTCAATAAAGATCACTGTAATATATTTTAGAGTTATAGTCTGAATCCCGATATACATGGTAAAAGGTACAATTTCCTTAACTTTTGTTTGTAAGTCTTCAATAACGGTCACTGTAATATCTTTCAGAGTTATTGTCTGAATCCCGATATACATGTTAAAAGGTACAACTTCCTTAAGTTTTGTCCATGAGTGTATTTCGATGAATAGTACAAGTCATCAAAATATTCACAATCAGAAGCTGGTCTTCTATAATTACACTACATGTGTGAAAAAAAACCCCAATAAATAAACACTACCAATATGTAAATTGAACTGGAGAAACTGCTGTACTACCAATATGTAAATTGAACTGGCGAAACTGCAGAGTGATTTATTTCTGATATCTCAGATCATTCAAATAATTTTATCTCAATTTAACGTGTAGAATAAACGACTATTAGAAAATTAAAAATTTTATTAATAGCGCCATCTACAGGTAAAAAAAGAAAACATTTCCATAGCGTAAAATTTCAACGTAATCTACCATGACAATTGGAAGTAAAGAGAGAGATAACGCAATCTGGGAAAAATTGTGCAAATACAAAATCAGATAAGAAGAGACAAATTATAATTCTGGGAATAATTCCAGAGAGTTGGATAATTTAATTCCGAAACCCGTACAATTGGATTAACTCAGGAGTTCCCAGCAGTTAATTAGAGAATTGAAGTTTTTCCCGGTTTTCCTCCACTTTAGATGTGGATTAGGCCTAACGTACTATCGTATTTGCATATCTAATCCTCCGTT